GAATATACAGCTACATTATTATATGCTATGATATGAGCCGAATATTTGCATTCCTGTGACAGGCGTCAGTGAGAAGGCTTTTATCTGAAGGCGTCATTTGTCTTTCTTTCTCCCCCTTTAGAAAGCAGTGTTCACGAGGGAAGCACCGGCAACGACAATGATGACAGCATCTGTGGCAGTGACTCCGCCTTCTACAAGCAGAGTGAAGGTGAGAGATGCAGTGGTGAACGGGCAGATAAAGTTCTGTATTTGTGCGGGTGCAGAATGGTCATTTCAGCCACAAATGTAACTGACGTTATCTTTTCCTGTTTTTTCTTGCCTGCCATATTGATTTTTTCACCATTTGTCCCTTTTGTCCATTTTCTTAAAAGGTTTGAGCTTTTATGCTTATACCTCGTTAATTGCCGCCTTAACAAATAGAGACCATTCTGTATTCTGTGTGTGGGGGGGGGGGAATCTTATCAGTGCTTCACTAAAGTGACAGTCCTCTTTTGGTCATTAAACTGCACACACACATTAAAATTCACACGCATGCACACAAACATAAATCTACTGACATGCTGTCTCGCATAAATCCACACACACAGATACAATTATATCCCTCACAACACAGAGCACACATTTAGACATAAATGCTTGCGCCATTAACTGTACACACACCTTCATACACAAACAAATAGGCAGACAACCAAATAGCACCAACCTAATGATAATGCTAATTTTATTTGTTTGCCTGTAATTATGAGTTGTTTGTGCAGTGATCAAGATCTGCCATTTAGATAATGGCAGCTCTTGAGAAGACCACAAACAAACGCCCTTTATGTGTGTGTTTTCATTAGAATTCAGTGTTCAAATGAACAGTTTATAATGTTGCATTATTTTCTACTGTACTGCTCTGTTGGGAGTACAGATTGTAGAGATTGTTTCTTTTGTCCCAAATTGTTTGTGCAATTATAGAGAATAAATTTAAATCTACACTCTTCTTTTTTTCAGGGTTAAAGCTCATACAGCAAAGGTTCCTCGCCTTTTCTGCATAACACTGCTATAGGATAGTTTTAAGAAAGTATTGATGCAGAAGAACAAGAGATATTATATTTTTTATTCCACACATTCTTCTTGCAAAACCTGACAACTACATTACCCGCAATGCAACTCAACCCCCAACAGTTAGGTCGGAAATTCAGGTGTTTTATGTTATTAGTGGCTACTGTATCCTCAAGCAGAGATGAGGACCGGGCTACGGAGGTCTCATTAACTCACTTCACTCCAAAACTGCAGGTTTTCAAACTTGTAGTAGTCAGCCCCAAGCAACGCTTTACACAGCTCCCTATGGAGCCACAAAATGTTTTATATAACTGATTTTGCATATACAGTGATACTCCCCAAGACCTGTAACCATAGGGATAGCCAGTTAGCTCGAAGAGTCGACAAAATGGAGATTTCCACACTTCTACAGTACTTAACATCGACCATACAATGCCAGGGCTCCACAGCACTATAATGAAACATGAGCAGTAGACAGCATAACCTGCACCAACTTGTTACTTGGTCTCTCTTGTGGACATTGGTCGTAGTAGTGCCACCTAGTGCTGCTATTTGGCATAATGCAGTAATACATCTACAAGAGTTACACCCTTGCGTCATTTACGACTCCTACAATTGTATCTCCCAGATTGTTATCAATTTAAATACTTATAAGGATCAAGAAGGGCTAAACGTGTTCAAATATTTCAGAAAAAATTAAGATTTATAGATACGCAAGGCGCTTCAGTTTCAAAAACAAGAAAACAATAGAATAGAGGTGAGTAATTGCTTAGATGGAGCTCTTTCAAAATATGTTGCTCGGGTTGGATGAGTGTTGGTAGATACCGGAAGGTTGGAGGGTCGCGGATAGGTGGTATATGGGATAGACTCTCACTGGGTTGTGAGATATAAAGAGTGGGGAGTGCTGGGGTGAGGGGCAATGGTGTAGATAGGTGGAGTGATTTATGGTTTGCAACTCTCTCGCATGAATGATGTGTGCGCCTTCCTATGTTTTGAGATTGTGATAGGAAAGATTGAGAAAGGTGTGAAGGCAGAAAAGAGCGTAATCGGCGATCGCACGCCATGCGTGAAGTATAGCATGAGTAGAGGTTGGATTAGATTGGGATAAAGAGATGCTATATCAGTTAAAGGCAGAGTAGATTATGAATAGACTAGCATATGGTGATCCGACTCGAATATACTCGTGGTTACTCTTCTTCTACACATTCTCGCCGTCGCCATGTCCTCTCAATAGCGCTCTACTCTTGATCCCATTTACGCCTTCATTCCTGCTTTTCCATCCCCACATTTCTCTGTCATGTTCCGTTACTTCTCTCCTCTCCCCCTCCCTCTTGGTCTCAGTATCAAGCCGGGATGCAGTCAATTGGTATTTCTGGCTAAGACATCTTGGCAGCAGAGCTTTTGCTGGTAATTCTCCGTCGTTTTGGACCAAATATATATATTGTGTGTGTGTGTGTGTGTGTGTGTGTGTGTGCAGGAGAAGCAGAATGAGGCTCCGGTATCATGCGGGAACACAAGAGGAGCTTCATAGAGGAATTTGCTACAACCATTGTACAAAAAGTAGGTTGAAGTAAGAGTTCGTTTTAATTTTTGCATGTTTACTTCACCCTTGTGGTGTGAAGACACAGAGTAGTTGCTCATTCAAATGTAAATGCACACTTGAAAAGGAAAAAATCTAATACACAGAGCAAGGTCCCATCCTGTCTTCACTTTGACATAGTTGACAAGACTATATAATTGTAAAACAAAAGCCATCTCATCGGTAAATACAATTTTTGTAGGTGAAGAATAGCGCAGGAAAACACAGAAAATTGAAGGTTCTTCCCTAATTTTTGAAAATTGGATTAATCATGCACATTTGAGAAGAGGGCAGAAAAGTCTTTGAAATATGATATTTTTTAGTTTGGAATTAGTTCAAATGACAACTTGTTTCCATTTAATCACGTCTTGTAATTTGCA